CCCACTGCCTGGTTCAGAGAGGGGCACCTGACCCCATGTCCTCGCAGGGAGACCCTAGCGCTATGACCTGATCAAACTTCAGGGAAAGACAAGCTCTTTTTTCATGGGAATTAAGCCAGTGAGATAAAAACTGGCCATCTCCATCACCACTGAGGAAAAGCTGCCTCAGAATGGAGCCAAACACAGGAAAGCAAAGATGAAAGAGTTTCTTCCTGTCATTCGATCACCTGGATCAAGCTGTGACTAAGGCTGAACCCCTGGAGCTTTTCCGTTACACGTGCCAATAAATTCCTTTATGTTTGTTTAGGCCAGTTTAAGCTGGGCTTCTGCCATTTCCAACCAAAAATATCCCAACACAACCTATCTGTGCCAAATAGCTAAGATAATTCGCTGAAATAAAATAAAAGCATGGTTGATTTTGCAGGTTTGAAAACAGTCGAATGTCATCAAGTTGAATTCACTTCTATTTTGTTCTGCATGTGAGTGTTCTGTGGTTTAATTTTGACAAGAGGGAGTGAGAAAAACAAAGTCTCACTCCCTGATATACATGTAGGTCTGTCTTATGATGATTAAATTTCTAAATCTTCACTCATGCTTTCTTCCTTATCTCAAGTTGGTAAGGTGAACCTTGTATGTTTTTAATCCTCCTTGCATGTTCTAGAATCTACATCCATCAATTATTCTCTCCCTCACATAGATAACCCCTCCCCAAACCACCCTCAGCTTTTCTCACTCTACTGGTTCCTATACTTTCACCTATCGGTGCACCCTCTGTCTCTTCTGTAAAAATAAATAGAGAAATAAAATCATACTTCAGTATATAAAATCACCCATACACATAATCAGGCAGAAATAATCACAAAGAAATGGAAGAAAATAATGTAAAATATGAACGCTGATTGTCTCTTATCTCTCAGGGTAAGATAATAGCTGATTTTCTTTTCTTTTTTCTTTTTTAAAATGCTTTTCTGTGGTTTACAAATCTCCTTAGTGTTTATTTTATAACAGAAATATATTTCTTAAAATATGTTTCCTCTTCAAGCTACCACATTTTTCCATCCCTTACTGCCTAATATTGTAAAACAAAAGACCAGGCATCACTTCCTCACTCCTAGTTCACTGCCACTCTGACTCTACTGGTAGTCACTCCACTCAACTGAAGTCACATCCCCCAGTGACCAGCGTAGCCAGCACACTGCATCCAGCGGCTTCTCTTCTCTCTTCAGCTCATGTGACCTCCTCGGGTCATCAGCCATTCCTTCCCTTGGCTCGAGTTTGAAAGTGCAGAGCTATCATTTCACCCCAGGTTTTCCTTACCCTTTCTTCCCTATTCAGTCGTTCAGCAGGTCTTATCAATGACATTTCCAGCTGCGCCCTGAATGCACCATCACCTGTGCTCCTGTCTGCTGCCTGACCCTCTCGTGGCCCCAGCCCCCCACTGCTGTGCCCCCAGCCCTCCCCCATCTCACACAGCCCACCGCCCTGGGAGTCATCACCCTAAGGCCCAAACACAGTCATGGAAGTCCCCACCTTAAAATGCTGAACGGCTCTCGAATGCATATAAAAATCAAATGCCATGACCAGGCTGCCACCAAACGCCTTCCACGGGCTGGTTCCGGCCTACCAGCCTCATCCTCCACTTGTCTGAGCCTGCACCATGGGCTCCGGGAACACTGGCTGACTTTCCAGAAGAGCATGAGGCTCTCTGGCGCCCATGGGCCTCTGTTTGTGTTCTCTCCCCTGCCCTGCCACTCTTCCCCTCCTCACACGGACTCCTGTTCACCCTTCAGGACCCAGACTAGCATTACATTTTGATTATTTTAATAATTAGCACTTATTACACTGTAGTTTGGTCCCCAGTAGGTACTGACCTGCTCTGGGGCAAAAATATCATTTTATTTATCATATCCTGGTTTCTTGCCTATAGAAAGCAGGCAAATAATAGTAAAAGTGAGATACTGTAAAAATCCCAAACCGTCCCTAGAGCATTGATTATATATTAAAGGAGCAATTATAATGATTCTGACTTATAAAAACAATCACAGCCCCCCTCAAAAGACTTTTATATGGTCTCTATAATATACTGGGTGCCCTATTTGAAGTTCTGTACTCTCAGCATCCATGACAAGGGTCTGGCCACTTCTTTTAATTTGGGATCAGTCTCTTTAGATGACAAACAAAAACAAAAAATTTAAATTTTCATAATAAAGGTTTAAATTGTCTTAATTTCTTGGTTTCCTCCGTCATTCATGACACCCTCTAATGTTAGAGTCAAGATTTAAAAATCTACAGCTTCTGCTTTAAAAGAAAAATGGTTTGAATATACCTTTTGTGCAAAGAAAAAAATACTATACCTTCTTTAACTTTTTCCAATTAAATCTACCAATTTATTTTTAAAGGGTCATTTATTGAATAAAATTATATCTTTTTAGTTACAGAACGTATGAGGTACACAAAGTCACAGGACATTTAAATCTAATGAATTCAAGATTTTAAAAAGTAGTTAAGGGACTTTCCTTGTGGCTCAGTGGTAAAGAATCTGTCTGCCAACGCAGGAGACACGTGTTTGATCCCTGATCTGGGAAGATCCCACATGCCACAGGACAACTAAGCCCGTGGACCACAACTATTCATCCTGTGCTCTAGAGCCTGGGAGCTGCAGCTACTGAGCCCATGTGTTGCAAGTACCAAAGCCCACATGCCCTAGAGCCTGTACTCTGCAACAAGAGAAGCCACCACAAAGAGAAGCCCGCGCACCGCGACTAGAGAGTAGGCCCCGCTTGCCACATCTGGAGAAAAGCCGGAGCATCAACCAAGACCTGGCACAGTCAAAAATAAAAGATAAATAAACAATTTAAAAGTAGTTATAGTTAAATGGCATCTCATGTCCTGGAGAAGTTAATGTTGACAAGAACATCCACAAAGCCATCACTAAATCTTCTTAGAAATGTCCGTACCTTTAAAAGAAAGAAGAAGTCACAACATCAATCTCTCCTTAAAGACAAATAATGAGATTCATTCGTTATACACTAGCTATGTCCCCAACATGATACTGTGAACGAGAGGGGACTTCTCTCAATTCTCAATGGAAAAAAAATCCAAACTGCTATAAGAGTTCAGAAGAGGGAGATACCACAAATAACAGAGAGATCAGGGATGTTCTTCTCATAAAGGATAAGATATAAGCCAAGAAGAATAGACAAGATTTTTACAGACAGAATTCGCCATTCCAGGCAGAGGGAAGAGCAAAAGAAAATCACGGAGCCAAGAGGGAAATCAGGAGTCAGTCTGAGACCCTGAGCGTGGGCGCTCTTCCTTGACCTTGTCACTCCCTGACTGCAGGGCTTCCTTCTCCTAAAGGCTGAAACCTAAAGGGCCTTTTCCTCTTTGCAAAGGATTCTGGACTCAATCCCATGGGCAATGGAGATTAATCTAAAATTGGGAGCAGAGATCCTAAAAGGGCAGGGAATTAACCTGGCAACAATGTACAGAAAAGGAAGGGAGAGACTGAAGGAGGGATGGAGGCACTTCCATAGCAGGGACATGTAAGGATGCTGAACGCACCGTTGCTAGATGCTTTGGTAATAAACCCAACCACTGCAACCAGGAGACTGAAGTGTTCTACACTGCTTCCTTTGTACCTCAAGTTCCATATAAAAAGCTTATTTAATCCACCCAAAACTTTATAGCCCTAATCTAATCTTCTCTGGATTCCTTTTTGGTAATATATATATATATATATAAAAATGCCTGACTCTGCTTGTGACAAAAGCTTTCAAGTCCCACTGATCCTTTTGCCCCACAACTGTGCAAGCCTAAAAAAAAACCTGTGAACTCCTTCAAGGGTGCTAAGAGGGAGGAGACAGCCAGGCACTCCTCTGCCCACCGCCCCCACCCACCCCCAGTACCACTCATAACAAGAAACAAAGACACTTACCCCCTCCTTCATGCTACCTGAATGGACCAGTTTAGACCGGTTTAGAGTGCTTTGCGCTCTCTAGAAAGCCCCGTTACGTGAGTAACACATCTTCTCCTGCCCTCTTGGTCTGTGTGTGTAGCACCAGCAGTCATGACCTCCAAACCGACTGCACTGGCTCGGACAGAGGCTGATCCCACAACCCATGGAGTGACCACAAACACTCTTTTCTACTTTTGTCCCTGGGGGGTCTTCATCTCCACCTTCTCCCTTCCCTACTCCACCCTCACTACCCAGCTCCCTAAATGAAACTTTTTTTCCCAGAACATTTGCATTTATCTCTTTTTTAACTGAAGTATAGTTGATTTACAATGTTGTGTTAGTTTCTGGTGTATAATACAGCAAAGTGACTCAGTTATGTGTATATATACTCAGTCATATATATATATTCTTTTTCATATTCTTTTCTGTTATGGTTTATTACAGAATATTGAATATAGTTCCCAGTGCCACAAACACTCTTAAATAGTGAACTACTGCAGTGTCCTGTCTATACCTAGATTCAAGGTAGGAAGATGCAAAGAAGATGCATGATGGAAACCCTCAAACTCAATCCTGATGACCCTGAATGGACATATACATTCACTCAAATGTCTATTTATTCAACTTCAAAGCGATTTAGTGTGTCTTTGGTAAATGCTTGGCTCCCACCCCTCCCAAAGGCTAAACTCTAAGATGCTGCATAGTCATAGAAACTAGGTGCTTAATTCTGCCGTAATCACAGGCTTTGCGATTAGAAGAAATCTCTACACAAGCTAGGATGGAAACACAATTAAACATTTCCCTTGCATAAAGTTCTGGGTTAAAGTGCTAGGGCAACTGAAAGGCTAAAATAAAAAGCCACAAATAATCCCTTTATTCAAATAGCACTTTAGTTACAAATCAAATGAGAGCCTTGATTTGTGTTCAGTACAGAAAGTACTTCCATGTCTTTTCAGCCAAACCTACATATCTAAAGGTCATAATCATGAAAACAGTGTCTTCCTCAGAAACAGTTTAGAAAATCATAATATTAAGTACTTACACGTCTTTAGCTGCTCCTCCAGGGCCTGGGAAAAAATAGAAAAAGATATTTTTTCATTATCTTGGTAACACTGGTACAAAAATCTTAAGCCCAATATTCAACTAAAATAACTTTTTCAAGAGATGAGTTGAGAATATGTTTTGAAAGATCATCTCACAAAAGAAGAAAAAGGAGAACAGGAAAATCATAAGAAGCCAAATCCTAGGTTTAGAGTTTATTCTCTCCATTTTTAACAATTCCTATAAATTATAAAGTGCTGATTCTGAAAGGAATTTTACAAGACAGCTCAATCTAATCTGCTAATTTTACAGATACAGTAACAAATTTGAGAAATACTTTCTTTTCTAAGCCACACGACTATTAAGCTGGTGCCTACATGGAACTGTTATGTTACACTATGCACTAATCAAAAAGTAAAGCAAAGTCACATGACAAAAATGGAGATGCCATCCTAAAGGAATTTGGAAGTCTCAAAGATGCCAGCCCAGCTCCAAAAGGAGTAACATTCATTTCCAACTCTTATCCTATTTGCTACTGAACCCTCTCATTTCTGCTTCCCACCCACATGCCAAAAACAACCCATCTCTTTTGGACCCCAGTCCTCTCACTTATCACAGATTCTCCGCCCACAACACAGTTCCATCTGCACTTCTGCCCCCTAATATCTTTATCTAAACAAATAGAACTTAGTTCCAACTTTGAAAGCTACATGGAATTAAGTATCATTTAACCTCTTATAACTTCACTTCCCTCGTGTCAAATGAGGAAAGTAAGAATATCTTTCTCAAAAGTTATGGTGAAGTTCTTTAAAATCTATATATCTCTATCAAAATACCAATGACATTTTTCAAGAAAATAAAACAAATAATACTAAAATGTCTATGGAACCACAACACACCCCAAATTGCCAAAGCATCTTGAGAAAGAACAAATCTGGAGGCATCATGCTCCTGATTTCAAACTACGTGACAAAGCTATAGTAATCAAAACAGTATGTTTCAGCAAAAAACAGACACACAGATCAATGCAGCAGAATAGAGAACCCAGAAATAAACCCATGCATACATGCTCACTTAATTTACAACAAATGAGGCAAGAATATGAAACGTGGAAAGAATAGTCTTTTCAATAAACTGTCTTGGGAAAACTGGACAGTTGTATGCAAAAAAATGAAACTAAACAACTGTCTTACATCATACACAAAAATTAACTCAAAATCAATTAAAGTCTTAAATATAAGATCTGATACCATAAAACTCTGAGAGGAAAATATAGGCAGTGAGTTACCTGACACTGATCTTAGAAATTAATGTTTGGATCTGATTCAAAAAGCAAAGGCAACAAAAGCAAAATAAAAAAGTTGGGACTGCATCAAATTTTGAAAATTCCTGCACAGAAAAGGAAACTATCAACAAAATGAAAAGGCAACCTACTAAATGGAAGAAAATACTTCTAAATTACATATCTGATATAAGAGGTTAATATTATAAATATATAAAGAACTCATAAAACTCAATAGTAAGAGAGAGAGAGAGAGAGAGGTTGAGAGAGAGAAAGAGAGAAACCAGCTTGATTTTAAAATGGGCAAATAATCTGAACAGACATTTTTCCAAAGAAGACATACAGATAGCCAATTGGTACATGAAAAGATGCTCAACATTACTAATCATCAGAGAAATGCAAATCAAAACCATGAGATATCACCTCATACCTGTTAGAATGTTTATCATCAAAAAGACAACAAATAACAGGTGTTGGCAAGTGACGTGGAAAAAGGAGGACACCAGTGCACGCTCTTGGTGGGAATGTAAACTGGTGCAGCCACTACAGAAAACAGTACAGAAGTTCCTCAAAAAAATTAAAAATAGAACTACCATATGATCCAGCAATTCCACTCCTGGGCATTTATCCAAAGAAAACAAAAACACTAATTCGAAAAGATATATACATCCCTACGTTCATCGCCGCTTTTTTCACAATGGCCAAGACTGGAAACAACCTAACTCCAGCGATGGATGAATGGATAAAGAAGATGTGAGAACAGATACAGGAGGGTAGAACAATAGAATAGAATTCTACTCAGTGGGCTTCCCAGATGGTGTTAGTGGTAAAGAACCCACCGTTCAATGCAGGAGACGTTAAGAGACCCAGGTTCAATCCCTGGATTGGGAAGATCCCCTGGAGGAGGGTATGGCAACCCACTCTAGTATTCTTACCTGGAGAATCCTATGGATGGGTTACAGTCTGTGGGGTCACAAAGAGCTGAACGTGACAAGTGACTTAGCATGCACTCACGCACATAAAGAAAAAAGAAAGAAATCCTGCCATTTGCAACAACATGGATGGACCTTGAGAGAATTATGCTAAGCAAGATAAATCAGAGAAAGACAAATACCATGTGATTTCTCTTATATGTGGAATCTCAAAAACAAAACAAGTGGAAAAAAAAAATCATAGATACAGAGAAAGGAACGGTGGTTGCCACAGGGTAGGCAAGTCGGGGAATGGGCAAAACAAGTGAAACAATCAAGACATACAAACTTCCAGTTCTAAAATAAATAAGCCACGGGGATGTCATGTACAGCACACCGACTACAGTCAATAATACTATACAGCATACTTGAAAGTTGCCAAGACAATAAATCCTAAAAGTTAACTACGTATGGTGACAGATGGTAACTAGACTTATTGTGGTGATTTCACCACATATATAAACATGGAATCATCTCATTGTATTCCTGAAACCAATATAATGTTATATGTCAACTGCACCTCAGTAAAAAAAAAAAAAAAAAATTTAATACATTTTAAAAATTGAGACTTCCTTGGTCCAGTAGTTCAGACTCCATGGTCCCACTGCAGAAGACACAGGCTGATCCCTGGCTGGTGAACTAAGATCCCACATGCCACAGGGCATTGCCAAAAAAAATTTTTTTTAATTATAAAAAGATGTAAACAGAACCAAGTCTGGCACATAAAAATAGCTCACTGTTCTTGGTGGTGGTGGTTTAGTCACTAAGTCGTGTCCGACTCTTGCGGCCCTGTGGACTGTAGCCTGCCACGCGCCTCTGTCCATGAGGCTTTCCAGGTAAGAATACTGGAGTGGGTTGTCATTTCCTTCTCCAGAGGATCTTCCCAACCCAGGGATCGAACCTGGATCTCCTGCACTGCATCACTGTTATTAGCAGTCACATTTTCCTTAGTATCTCAATTTTCCTATCTATGAAGTGGGAGTTAACTCCTGCACAAGTCACAGAGGTGTGAAGATAAAGGAAAACGTGCTACAAAATAAAAACAAATCTGCAGGAAGAGTTATTGCCAAAATTGTAAGAACTTCACCCGAGAGATATTAATCTAGGACCTATAGTACTGCAAATTCGAAGAAAAGAATTAAGATGATCAAGACTATGTCTCAGGCTTCCCTGATGGTTCAGTGGTAAAGAATCTGCTTGCCAGCACAGCAGACGTGAGTTCAACCCCTGACCTGGGAAGATCCCACATGCCATGGAACACCTGAGCCTGTGGACCCAGAGCCCTTGCTCCGCAAGAAGAGAAGGCGCTGCAACAAGCACCCTGTGCACCACAGCGAGAGAGAAGGCCCTGCTCGCCACAGCTAGAGAACAGGCCTGAGCGGCACTGAAGACCCAGCACGGCCAAAAAATAAATTATTTCAAAATGAATTTTAAAAAGACTGTCTCAAATAAATTCTTGAAAGGTTTTGACCAAACCTGAACTCTGTAACAAACTTAAGAGTGTTTACTCAGGGGAGAGTAATATTTCTGTTTCACAACTCTCACTAAGAGTACATAAATAAAAACGGCTTTGGAATCTGAGATCATAAAACCAAAAAAAATCCTAAAATTTTAAAAAATCTTAAACATAATAACAGTGGCGAGTCCAACAGGAAAAAATAAACAAAAGATGAGTGCCACCAAAAACCCATAAAAATGGACATTTTCTTTCAGAATCAAAACAAGCATGAGAATCTGGGAGAAAGTCTAAAAAGAAAATAAATATCCTCGTTTTCTTAGTTTCATTTTCATGGAAAAAGATGGGGAATGATTGGGGGTTGCAGCACTCAGGGCAGGAGAGAGCAGAAGGCACCAGAACGGATGCTGGGACGTCACACAGAAAGAAGACGGCAGCCGTGATGTGAGGGCCACGAGCGCTGAGCTGTTGGCGATGAAGGGAGGGCAGAGCGGACAGAAGCCACGCCGCTGCCTCTGAGGGGTGGCAGCGGGGTGGTAGGGAAACAGCAGCAAGGAACTGGAAAAATTCCTGCTCCAGTATTTTATTTGACAGCCCCTAGATCCCTCTGCTACAGCTTCTAATCCTGGGCCGACAAAGGCACCGGAAAAGACAAACCACAATAAGTGTGTGTGTGTGAAATTCACTTCAAAACAGTCACGCATCGTCTCCTCAGTACCTGTTTTCATCAGTCACCAGAAACCCTGCATCCGCTTCACCTTGACTCCGGGCACCCCCACGGCCTCTTTCCTACTGGGTTCACCATCTAACTTCCCAGCAGGCCCAAGGCAGATGCCAGGTGTGACCTTCCAGAAGGAAATCAGCAGGCCATTTCTTCTGTTCGCAAATGTACCTCTCTTAAAGGGCACCATCTATTTAACAACTGCAGTGCGGATGGAGGCCAAGAAGTCAGAAACACTGACTTGATGTATATACATCAAGCCTATAGATATGATTATAATGTACATTCATCTTTCTAAAAGGGAAGACAGCGTACATCTCCACAGGAGCAAGGGATTGATGATAAGCTTATAACCAGGAAAGGGAGAACATGACTCCCTGACATACAACTCCTCAGAGAAAAAGAAAAACAAAATCTGTAATTGTTGAAACTCCCAGCAAAAATACCAGAATTTCTAGGTATATAAATTATGAAATAGCTTTGTTCTGCAAAAGTATAAAATCATAAAATTACTAGAAAGAGAAGAAAAATTCTGATTACCCTCAGGGCAACATTTTAATCATACTTCATCTATATATTGATTACAGTTAACCAGA